AATTTTTTTCTGCAAAGCTCTAAGAAATTAACACTAAGCATTTAGAATTTCTTTGAAAACACAATTATAGATTTGGCATCTTGGAGCAATTACTGAAAGGCTGTCAAATGATTTAACTCTTGACAGGCCAACATAAAGTTGTCCATGAATAAAAACTTGTTTAGACAATATTAAACTGATTTTCTTAAAAGTCTGACCTTGTGACTTATTTATATTCATGGAGAAGGCCAGCCTACTAATTGAGTTTAAACTAAATATTATCATGTTTTTAAGGCATGAATCTGAATCGAACAACCTGATAATGCTGACTCTGGTTATTGTTTCAGTTTTTAAAAGCGCTATATGTTGAGCCACCTGAGCTAGATTTGGCATGTGCAAATTTATTGCAATTAATATCTTTACCATAAAATATTTTACTTTTATCAAAGTTTTTCTTCCACCTAAAGGGAAACAAAAATCTTAGTCTTCACTTAATTAGTCACAACACGGGCTTATTATAATGTATATATATGTAGCGTTTAAATAATTTAAATAATTCTTTGCAATTATTACCTTGTATTTACATTTAGTTCTTTAAATCTCCAATATTTTATTATTGCTCATTTACGAATATTGATAGTCTTATGATTTTTTTTTAAAAAATATCGATATTGCACATTTAATTTACTTGCACTAATCTAATTGCACATTTAATTTACTTACAATGTGGCAATTCCATGGTTTTTTGACATTTCGGCAATTATTGCCACTGATTGACATACTTTTGGAAATCTCTCAATTGATATTTTGTCTTCCGAAGTTAAAATTGCATATTTAAAACATTTCTGACACAGTCAACTTCTGTCCATCGTTTCACAAATCCATGTTGTGTTCTGATTTTTTTTTTTTTTTACAGTTTTGGATATTAATTTATTCACGATTTGTAATGATCCCGATATATTTTAGTCAATATGAGGAATTTAGCACTTAAGCACATTTACTTTGTGATGCAATGAAACCATTGATTTTTTTTAGCAGTCACTGTTAGATTTCCACAAGTTTTTAAAATCAGATATTTGTGACTATAACAAGCAAGCTGCGAAATGAAGCATGCTTTCAAGTTACTCTTATTTGCATGATCATTGATTATTTTAATAGTTACCTGTCATGAATTTCACTATTTTTTTTAATGAGATGGTTTACAAAACATGAAAAAGGAAATTAGCCCATTTTCTAGTCACAAAGAGAGAATAACGGCCACAATGAAAGAGGATGTATTTTTTTTTCGTACATAAATGAAAAAATCCTTACATTAACTGGAAAACTTCTATAATTGAATTCTATTCATGGAAAACTTTAAAAGAAATGTCTTTCCTACATATGTCACTAAAATCATACGCATTGGCATACTTCCTTGCATTTAAAAATAGCTGTACTAATTTTATTGTTTAACTGTATGGAATTCTAATGAGTTTCATTCAAAGGAATTGAACTGAAAGCATCTGGTTCAAAAAATTATAACTTATATATCATGAAATTTCAAACTAACACGTTGTGCTATGCTTTGCATTCATGTACAGACAGCATAATTTTTCCTCTTTTAGAACTGACTTGATATAAAATTTTATACTTTTAGATAATTTATTCTTAATGCAATATTTTGTTATTTCTTACTTTCTCTATTTTCCAAATTTATTTCTTTGGTCTTAGCTTTTTAATCTATGTTGAATCTATTTACGAATATTAGTTTAGTTTTTTTTTAAATGTAATTTCATTATATACTATCATAGGATAAATAAGCTAATTGGTTTTTAAGTGTTATTGACAGGGTTGGCAAGATTTTGCCACAAGTGGAAAAAACCATGGTAAATACCGGTAAAAACCGTCCTGGCAAAAACAGGTTTTTGCCAAGCAAATTGGCAAAAAGTGGCAAAAACCTATATTTTCCAAGATGAGAGGACAAAAACACATTTTTGATACAAAATTATTCCTAAAATTGAAATATATACTATGAATATAAATAATTACAGAAAAATTAACAAAATTATTATTAAATCATAATTAAATGATAATGTAATAATATATCATTTTAGTAGTTTAAAACATTATTGATTGGAAAATTTGTGATTATTCTCTTTTTTCCAGTGAAATGAACTTATTTTAAATTAATATAACTATAATTTAAAGCATAAAATATCTATCAACATGTGTAGTTAATTATTGTACAAATAATAATTTTTTATAATAAATAATAATATTATACAAATAATAATATTTATTTATTTGTAAAAAAACATTTATTTTAGGATTCTAAAATGAAAAGAGATCAAAAACTTTCAATCTTTTAAAAATTATTACCTTTATATTAATTATTAATATGTTAAAAATAATTTTTTCATGTAATGTATCAAAATTATTATTCCTTATGATTGATTTAAATTTGTTTCAAGTATTTTGTAATAATATTTAATCAGCAATTTAGATAATTTGGTTTTTGCCGGTTTTTACCAGTTTTTGCCGGTTTTTACCAGGTTTTTGCCACTGTCCTGGCAAAAACCCCTTTTTGCCGGCAAAAACTCCAACCCTGGTTATTGATGATAATTAATAATTTTCTTATGCGTAGCATAACATTAATTATGTAATAGAATAGTTCACTTTTATATAAAATTTGTCAACTATATTAAGTTTTCGAGCTACATATTTCGTGAAAATGTAGATACAATTAGACATCATTTCAAAAAATACAAAAATAACATTTTAAGAAGTACTTTGTGAAACTAACATTTTTCCTTAAGTTGAATTTTTGAAGTTATCACTAAAACGTAGTAAATTTGGCCTGGACATACCCCTGAAGATGCACCCTTCATTTATATTAAACACACACATGCACACCTTTATTAATATATGAAAGCGTATGTAAAAGAAAAATGCATCTCTCATTAGCTTTGGAAAAGCACCAGATTTTGAGCCGTAAAAAGGTAGGTAAATGCTATTATTGCTAATTAAATTTTAATTTATGGCTGTAAAATGTTCATTTGGTGTAAAGCTTGAATAAAGGGATTAATATTATAAATTAGGATCCCTTTCAGCAACAAAATAAGCTTTGAAAGATCTAAATCCTATATCTCGTGGAATCACGGAGGCAGCAAAATTGTTGGTGCCTGTCAGCGTTTAATATACAAATTTAAATAGATTACAAGAAAATTACTCGTATAATGAAAAAGTAAACAAAGATGACTTACTTGATTTTTATGTGAAATATTAGGATGTTCTTGATATAAGTTCTTCTGTATAACGGGAAGAGAATCTAAATCAAATGTAGCTTTGCGCATACCTTCTCCATACTGTTTTTTTTGGCCATAGCTACCATTCCGGTTAAACCTGTCACCTCCATTTCTGAAGTTGCCAGAATTTCCATCATTACTTCTATTATATCCTCCTCCTCCTTCACTGTTTCTAAAGCCTCCATTACTACTTCCTCTTCCCCTGTTAAATCCCCCACCTCTATTTTTGTAATCACCACTATAAATCAATAAAGAAATATTACAAAAATATAGAATTTTTAAAAATTATAAAACAAATTATAAAGACAAAAGAGAAATGTCATAGACATCATAATACACCACTCTACCGTACATCATAGCATCAGTAATTTGATTAGTTTTTTATTCAATGATAAAGAAAGTTTAAACAATTTAGTTTTATACTTCAATTCTTGTTTGATCACATATTGAAATTTAAGTAACACAAGAAAGGAACCATTAGAAAAGCTCTTTAAAATATGCTCAGTCATAATAAAAAAATTTGATTAAAAGAATAGTTGATAAAAGAAAAACAGAAAAAATCGTTATAAGTAATGTAATTAAAATATACAGTTGAAAATCAATTGCCTATGTTACAAGTTATCAATCTTAACATACTAGTAAAAAGAGAGAATAAAAAAATGTCTATCAAAAATGCTTTTATATGCTACATTACAATAAAAGCAGAAAACAGCAAAAAGTAAATTTTTTAAACATAATGTGCCAAAAAAACTACATTATAAAAAATTATATAATGATGTGACTTTTAAACAAATCAGCAGTTCAACATTCATGGTTCAATATAAAGCATAAGAAGTGGTGGAATGGTTCAGTATAATCTTATTTCATTAACCTTCTGAAATATAAATTAGCAAGCCATGTGCAAGTCTTAATGTAGAAACTTAATGCAAGTCTAAATGCAGTAGACATAAATGAACCATTTCTAGTACATATAGCAAAAAAATTTTTTAGTTTATCCTTTATTAAATCTATTATTTTATTCAGAGATGAAAGTACCAGTTAGCAAAAAAAGCTGAATTCTACATAATTGCAATCAAACATTATGAAATTAATAAATGTATGGAGCTTAAAAAGCAGAGTAAAAGCTGAAAACTTTCATGCCTGTATATTACTCTACATTATATCTCTTCCAATTCTAAAAGAAAACTCTTCAGAANTGAAATTAATAAATGTATGGAGCTTAAAAAGCTTTGAAAAAAGTTAAATTCAGAGTAAAAGCTGAAAACTTTCATGCCTGTATATTACTCTACATTATATCTCTTCCAATTCTAAAAGAAAACTCTTTAGAAAATAAATTTTCGTAAAAAATATAATGTTCTGTAAACAGACCAATCCTGGATAGTAACAAATTATTCATCACATTCCTACTCACAGAGTTCACACTAAATTTTAACAATTACGAAACAAATATGGATATCGCCTGGACAATTTGATGAGAATCACTGGATATATTTTTTTAGAAAATCTATCAAACAATACTCCCAATAATCTAAATTTATACGAACTTAGACTGAATCTAATCCATAAATTATGGTTTTTTAAACAATTTTTTGTTAGAATCACTACTACAGTAAATAAATTATTTTCTGAAATTTAGAAAACGCAGTTTACATTACAATTAATAAACTATACATAAAACAAAAAGTAAATGCGATTTGATAAAGTTTATTATTTCCGTATAATTGAGTTCGAAATGAGATTTCATGACATGAATTAATCAGATTCGAATAATTCTACCTCTGTTTTCGAATAACTGTAATATCTTATTAATTTAAATAATAGAGAGGACATCTTTTTCAAATTAATAAGAATTTTAATAAATTATGAAAAAATTTAAACGTGTTAGGGCTATTCATATTAACACTAGACATACAAATTAACTAAAATCTATACAGAAAATTTAATTTACTTACTTTCCTCGATTAAATGAACGTCCACGATTCATAATATTAGTTTATTAACTTACTTTGACCTTAAAATAATTCTTAAAAATGGCTTAATTTTAACACTACAATTAATTTAGTGCAAGCCGCAGAAATGAAAAGACACAAAAGGAACAATTTTTATCTTGTTGTTGCCAAACTCATAATAAAAATTTGCAAAACTTTTTACAACTGTGTAGTCAGATTTTTTTTCCCAGACGGTGCAGGTGGCGTAGAGCAGAAATCTCTCACTATGGCAATACTGAAGCATTTTTGATCAGCCTGCCTAAGGGATGTTGACCACTTTGATCAGTCTACGTATTGACCGAGTGTGTGCGGTATCGGTGCACTTCTTACCCTGTTAACAATATACCAACTTCGAAATTTAAACCTAAATAATAATTTGCAAAATGAACTTAATGCTGATTTACGGTGCTTGTTGTAATTCATTTACGTCGCACTAGAGCTGCACAATGGGCTATTGGCGAGGGTCTGGGAAACTTCCCTAAGGATGATCCGAAGACATGCCATCACAATTTTGATCCTCTGCAGAGGGGATGGCACCTCCGCTTCGGTAGCCCGGCAACCTGCGCGCGAGGTCAAGCACTTTACGGTAGCACAGTTTAACGAGAACCCATACCGCACACCCTCAGTCCCTACGCAGACTGATCCAAGTGTTCACCCACCCGCACACTGACCGCAGCCAGTGATGCTTAACTTCGGTGATCTGCTGGGAACCGTGTCTTAACGATCAGTCCAATGCGGTACTTACGCTGCTTGAAAAATATGCTTAAACTAATCTATGATGGTGAGAAAAAAAAACAGTAATAATCAAGTAAAATAATGGGACAAATCAGAACTGTAAAAAAGGGAGTTATTTTTTCGAAATCAAGCAACCATGTCACCTTTTTAACAATTGACGATCGCAACACTCGAATACGCCATCTGGGGAGAGACTGGTTTCATGCCTTTTAGCCCTTCTCCCTTCCCTCTCCTCCTCTTTTCAGTTGTATAGGAATGTTCTTCTCTTTTCTTAATATTTTTCCTTTTTATATAATAAAAATATTTTTTAAAATTTCCGTGATACTTCTCTTTTTTAATGTAGTTTTCATGTCTACGCCACCTGCAGCCCATTTCGATCGCCAATACATTTCCAAAAGAAACAGCAAATTAAATTGGAAGAATCCGCAAGCTTGCTGTAATGCTAACCCAAAATAAAGCAAACTGCAATATTTTACACAAATATAGCAACAAAAAAAAACTTAATACACTCAAAACATGACAAATCTTACACTTTATTTATGCTGTGGTCCCGCAGTGAACTGATCGTTAAGACATGGTTCCCAGCAGATCACCGAAGTCAAGCATCACTGGCTGCGGTCAGTGTGCGGGTGGGTGACCACTTGGATCAGTCTGATTAGGGAACGAGGGGGCGCGGTATTGGTCCTCGTTAAACTGTTCTATCGTAAAGTGCTCGACTTCGCGTGCAGGTCGTCGGGCTACCGAAGCGGGGGTGCTATCCCTTCTGCGGAGGATAAAAATTGTGATGGCAGGTCTTCGGATCATCCTCAGGAATGTTTCTCAGACAGTCGCCAATTGCCCATAGTGCAGCTATAGTGCGACGTAAATTAACAAATCAAATCAATTTATGCTGTGATATTAATTTTAGTAAATTTGTTTTAGAATCATGACCTGTAAGAATTTATAAATTGCAGTAAACTCTTATGAATTGTAAAATTACGCTTAAATTTAAATACCAATCACAGCAGTACTTCATAGAATATTAATCCTGTTCAAATATCGCTCGTAAGTATGAATGTTGTTTTCAATTGCCAATCAAAACGGGCTACGCATGCTTTCACCCATAGCGTGTGGAGAGTCATAGAAGAAGGAAGTACGCTAGTTTATGTCTTGATTTTCAAATAGATCAAAATATTTTAAGTTAAGAAACTATGTGGAACTGAAAACTACATAAAGCATAGTTCTAAAAAAAATGTCCTGGAAATTTTAAAAAACATTTTTAACAATTAATTGCGAAAAATATTAAGAAAAGGAAAAATATCGTGATACATTTCTATATGACAGAAAGGAGGAGGGGAGTGAAGGATCTAAGGCAGGAAATCAGTTTTCATCCCAGATGGCCATAGCGTATTGTTTTAGTTATTTAGAGATGTATTGTTAAAAAAATTTACATAGTTTGCTAGATTTCGAATGAACTCGTTTCTTCGGCAGTTCTGATATTTGGTCTCTTTTCACTTGGTTATTACTTCTTGTTCAGGGTACAAAACGTGCGCCATCATACGTTAGTGTTAGCATATTGTTCAAGAAGCAAGATTAAGTTCATTTCACAAATTATCATTTAGGCTTATATTTGGAAGTTGGTATAATGTTCACAAGGTACGAAATGTTTTATAACAATTCTTTTTTTCAAATGACAGGTTTTCGAATGACGATTCCTATAACGATTCTTCTTTTAAACACAAATAATGTATCAGGTAATAAATGCGCGTAAACAAGAAATACTACTCAAGAGAGTCTCAAAGCACAATGATCACGTTGTGAGCCTAATGGCTTCAAAACAAGCAAGCAATAATCCGGAAATACAGGCAGTCAAAAGCTCGCAGCTCTTCCAAGTGTAGAAAACAACATCCATAACATAATTCTGAATCTTTTCTGGTTAAGGAAAACTTGTCATTGCTTATATTCAGTCAACCATCAATTGAAAACATCATCAATAGAACACCGTAGTCAAGCATCACTGGCTGCTGTCAGTAAATGGGTGAGTGACCACTTTGATTAGTTTGCGTAGGGACCGAGGGTGCGTGATATCTTTCCTCGTTAATCTGTTTTACAGCAAAGTGCTCGACTTCGTACGTAGGTTGTCAGGCTACCAAAGCAGGGGAGTCATCCCTTCTGTAGAAAATCGAAATTGTGATGTCATGTCTTCGGATTATCCTCAGGGATGTTTCCCAGACCGTCGCCAAAAGCCCATTGTGTAGTTCTGAGAGATGTAAATAAAATACCTACCTACCATTTAAAACACTATACAATTTCAAAATTTTTTTAACATTTATTTCCGTTAATCTTTACAAGGAAATAGTAAAAATATTTTTATTGCAGCAGTACCAAACAACTACCACTGAAAAAACGACGAAAATTCTCTTCTTACTGAATTTCACGTTTTCCGCTGTAACTGTAGTTGTTTTACGATTAAGTGGAAGTGGATGTTGTTTACAATTTAACAATTCGCAAACACGAAATAGTAATTGCTCTGTTCAGGATAATAATTTTAAATACATTACTTTAATAAAAATCAGCTATGGCTAAAAAATTAAGAGGATGTGGTACGGAACGGGTTATGAAAAAATTGCAAATAAATATGGAATTAGGACAATATTATGAAGCCCATCAAATGTATCGAACTCTTTATTTTAGGTAAGAAGGAGCCAATTTAGTTTGATAACCAAAGTTTTGTGTGTCAAGATTTCGGTGTTTTTCAATATTTTTAATTATTCGAAACGAAAAGTTGTCATTTAGTTTTCTTTGCCGAAACTAATTCTAACTTGAAATATTTTTTGGAAGTTATAGGATAGCAATAAATTACAAGTGTTGTTTCCAAGTTATTACTAGTATATTTGATTTAAACAGAGATTTAAGAAAATAAATCACTTTGATGTGCAGCTATCTATATTACATCTAAACAAGATACAAAGAATTATTGAGATACGAAAAATAAATATTATAGTTTTGTTATCGCCCCATATTTGCAAAACACATCAATAATTTTGATTACATGTGTAGATTTTCTTATGTAGTTATTCTACGTTTCTCATTTTACCAATAGTTTTCTAATTCGAATAGCTCAACCCAAGTGGAAGAAACTCTTCTCTATAAAGAAATATCAAGTTTTAAATTACTATTTTAAACATTTTATAAATTCAATCTAGTTAAAATAATTGTTGCAAATGTTTTAATAAACTATTTTTAAATAAGTGATAATAATATATCAATAAGTGGAAGGAGAAATACATTTTAAGAATTTTTTGAGAAAATAAAAACAAACTTTCTCTCACTGTATTACTTAAAGGAGCATAGAACTTTATTTAATAATTTTAAAGAGTTTTTAAAATTCCATAATCAAAGCAGTGGAACACCGACTTTAAGTTGTCCATTTTGTAATTTATTCTGCTTTTTACATCATTTTCTGCTGACTCAAATGTCCACTGGTTTTTGTTGGTTCAGTTATTGTTTTGTTCAGGTATTGCTTTTTTCGATTGCTGTAGATTCCAAGGTTTTTTAAATTTATATATTTTTTGTTGCAATGATGGCTTGCAAAGTGTGAAAAAGGAGGAATATGTAATTTTTTTCAATATTTATATATTTTTAATGTGTTGATGAGAAAAGAAATTTATTAAATAAAAATTTCTCACTTTAAATTTTTATGCAAGTTACTTTTGTGGCCGAAAATGACAATCTTTGACTTATGTGCAAAAAAAAATAAGTACAAAAAAAAAAACTGAACTTTGAGAATTTTTTTTTTCTTCTTCCACCTGTCTGTTAAAACTCTGCGATTAGACAAACGTATGAAAGTCTAAATAGATTTAAAAAAAATATCCAAATCATAAAAAAAAATATCAGTGTAGTTAATTTCGGTCCAAATTTATATCTTAACTTAAACTTAAGGTAAATACGGATAACGACTTTGCATGTGCTTATCACTTCAAATTTAACGTGAAAATTCACTGCTAACTATCTTCCTCCTCTCCTGATCACGTTAATGTGTGCACACAAGTTCAATCCAAACCCCACATCTGCAGTTATTATTGTTTCTCGAAAAACAGATGAAAATGTGTAATTTTTTTAAGTCTTTTTTTAGAACAGATAGTAAATAAAACTAATTGAAAATAATCTATTGTTTAGTTATAGTTCTTTAAGAGAACATTTCATATTCATTCTCATAATAGCGAATATCTCAGTTTAGATATCTCCATGGATTTATCTGCTTCATTTAGATATTTGTTTTTATTAATTCGTGTCTGCTAAGCTAAAATGAATCTGTAGTGCCACATTAATTAAGCCCAGGGTTAGGTTTTTGGACGTCCTAAACTGGTTTTGGACAGGACACGTGGGTTTTACTGTCTTAAACTGGATAAAACTGTCCTAAACTGGGTAAAACTGTCCTAAACTGTCTTAAAGTGTCCAAAACCTTGGAACTTTGGTAAATGATAAAAATTCTATTGGTGTAACCATTGTACACATAATAATTACATGTATCAATAAATATTTGATATTTTTTATACAATTTACTATAACTTATTAAAAGAAAATAATATAATATAATAGGAAAAGGTTTATAATTTTTGTAAGTATTTGTAGCTCCACAATTCATTGAACAACAAAAGTGAATACCTAATCATTTAAATATAAGTATGCTTTTAATATTAATAAATAATATTTTTGCATAAGGATAAATATGTCAATATTAAAAAATAATAATTTTTCTTTAAAAAAATACTTAATTTGTTCAAAAATTAACCTTTTATTTTTCACAATATTTTTTTAAAAAAATGTTATAATTTCTGCATTACAGGATGATAAAAAAGACGTCTATTTTTTAAAAGAATTGTTTTTAAATATAAATTTATTAGTTTAAATTGAAAATACAAAATAACTGAAAAATGTATTAACAGTTTTGAAGGGCATAACATCAGTTTCAGTTACTGACACTGGTGATGTATCACCACTATGCTAAAAGAATTGAACATGAATGAAATAAAAGTATTCTTGAATAGTACTATAGATAAATAAACCTGTTTATGACGAACCAAGCACTTAGTCCCTAATATTTTAACCTGTATGGCAAGGCCAAACTTCAGTTATGTACTATTGAATGAGAGGACCAATTGAACTTGATTACTGATTAATCTTCCTTTGTTTAAATTGAAGAGTCAAACAATATTAATAAAACATTATACTTTTAAAAACAAATATTCTCTAGTATATTTAATTATCAAAAAAACAAACAAATATTCTCTAGTACAGTAGGGAACCGATTATCCGGAACGATCGTGACCATGGCTATTCTGGATAACTGATTTTTCCGGTTTTCTTAATCACTACAAAAAGTAATTTTTTTATTGTTAAACCCAACTAAAAAAAATTATATATTTGGAAGTAATCTTAAAAAGAAGAAAAAATGATGAAGTAATACACTAATGAGTATTTCCAAAATGATGGTAAGATAAAAATCTTTCAAAAAAGAAAGAAAAATCCTGAAATCTTATGAGGGAAATTTTTTTTTTTAAAAATAGCGGGAAAATGTATCGAATTTCGTTCCGGTTTTTGTGGTTTTCTGTTTTCCGGATAACGGGTTCTGTACTGTATGTTTAATTATCAATATGTTATTAGTTCTATGTTTATTTTACCTCTTAAATATTGTTTAGATAAAATTGTGACATAATTTGAGTAAAGGGGTTTTTGGACTGTTTAAGACAGTTTTGGACAAAGGGGTTTTGGAGAGGACGGTTTAAACCAGGGTTTAAACTGTGGATTAATCCATTTTGTCCTAAACCTTGCCAACCCCGAAAGCCTGCTACCTACTGCCTTTGTTGTTAATCTAAATTTGTGCTAAGGCTGCCTGTTGTAATTTGCTCATTTTTTAAATTGTTTTTTGTCAGAGTTGGCATTTGATTTCGCCGGGTTGCCACTCCACAGGCTGAATAGGGAAAACATGGAAAATACAGGGAATTTAAAAATCACCTAAAATAACAGAGAATTTTGAGTTTTTTTTCTTCAGAAACTGGGAAAATACAGGGAATTTTGTTTGTTTCTGATTTTTGTCGTATGAAAAACGGTAACCACTCCAAGTGCAATCTATGGGATATTTAAGGATGATATTTCAGCTATATTAAACTAGTCACATGGATATAGCATTTTCTATAGCATTATTTGTTTTAAGTAATGTTCAGCTATCTTTTTTTTTCTTAAGGTTTTTCAGCAATTATAACTAGTATCAGGATTGGCATTTTGCCGGCAGAAACTGGTTTTTGCCATGCCAGTGGTAGAAACTGGTTATAACCGTTAAAAACCGGCAAAAATTGGCAGAAACTAAAAAAACTTCTATATTAGTTCCAGTAATTGCTTAATGACATTTTGAAGTAAACTGAAAAATTTTAACTCCATGTAACTGTAACAAACTTTTTAATTCATTATTTGTAAATATATATTATTTTGTTCATATTAAATATAAAGAGTGCAGAATATCAAATATTTATATAAAATGAAGAATAAAGTAATGTAATAATAAATATAAGTGCTAGAATTAGGGTTTCCGCTACGGTAGCTTTTTTCGCAAAATGCGAAAAGACCCCTCAAAAATGCTAAAATTCAACAAAGCATTTTCGCATTTTTGCTAAAGGATTTTACTAAATTCCATTTAAAAAAAAGCTTCCGCGAAAAGCCATGACACTAACATCCATGAAAAAAACTTGATCAAACAAGGAGAAAAAATCTAAATATCTTTCGCAAGAAGAACCATGACGCTAGCGTTCACGAAAAAAACGTGATCAAACGANCTGTAACAAACTTTTTAATTCGTTATATGTAAATATATATTTTGTTTATATTAAATATAAGGAATGCAGTATATCAAATATTTATATAAAATGGAGAATAAAGTAATGTAATAATAAATATAAATACTAAAATTTTCGTTTATTGTATTAAATTCTGAAATTCAGTAATTATCATTTAACTCTTAACATAACTGAATAGAGTTATTTTTAAATAGTTTTTTTCTTTTCAAGACATAATTTGCATGGCAACAATCCAACTATTATAACAGTCACAGTTTGAATCTTTTGTGGATGGCAATGCCTACTGGTTCTGCTGGATTTGAGAGAATCTTCTCAAATTTCTCGTCCGTGCATAGCGAATTGAGAAATTGTTTAGGTTTAGAAGCGGCATCAGAACTTGTCTTTTGTTATATATTACTGCAGAGTGCAAACAATGTAATATTTGATTTTGAATGGTGATAATTTTGTAAATAAATTGTACTTTGTTTAACATTTAATTGTTTTTTCTATGAATCTCAATGTCTTCTATGAGAGCAGACTCTTCTATGTCAATCTCAGTACTTACTTTTGTCATTTTCTAAATTTCTGCCAGTTTCTGCCACAAATGTGGCAGAAAAGGGTTTTTGCCATGTTGGTTTTAACCGGTTTCTACCAGTGTTTTTAACCACCTCGGCAGAAACTTGCTAACCGTGACTTGTATAGTAAGCTGAATGTAACTCCTGCAAGAGCACAGTGATTGTATTTTTCCTCTTAATATATTGTATATTATATGCACAGGGAATTTTTTTTCTCCGGATTTAAGTTGCAATCCTGCCATGTGATAATCCCCGTGGCAGAATCATTGTGAGATTGTCGCATAATGTTAGAGTTCTTGCAGAAATATTTTTTCATTGGAAAGTGAAAAAAAAATTTGCTTTTCTTTTCTACAGAAATTTTAGCAAGATTTAATCTTTTCTCCTTGCTCATTGGAAAGGAAAAAAAAAAAATTGTGATTTTTTTTAAATTCTCATTTGAGAATAATGAAAAATAAAGAATAAATGAAGTAAAAAATTTTGCTTTCCTTTTTTACAGAAATTTTCGAAAGATTTTATCTTTTCTTCTTGCACATTGGAGAAAAAAGTGCTTGTGATTTTTCTATTCTCATTTGAGAATAATGAAAAATATTAATAAAGGAAGTAATAAAATTAGGTTTTCTTTTTTGTAGAAATTTTTGTTCTATTTTTTTCATGTTGTTATTACAACGATTTCCACATAGCTTTTTAAATCCGATATTTTGAATACTATCTTATTTGTTACAATTGAATTTCGACCCTAGAATTCGGCAGTTACTGCTGCCAGGGTTCTTGCTGTCCTAAAATGTCCTAAAAAAGTGCTAAATATTTTTTATTTTGGCGTTTTGAAAATTTTTTTGAGTGATCGGATTCCTTAAATCGGTTTCCCTAAATCCTTAAATTCTGTTGCCTTCAGCTCTCCTGCTGCCTCCATCTTTTTAGAAGATTCTTAGGCTTTGGGGAAAGAAGTTCTTTCTTCTGAGATTTTATGGGCTTTAAAAGTTGTAGAAAGCTACTACTCCTACAATTCTTCCGAAGACACTGGAAAATTATTTAATACAATGTTGCCAGACAGTTCAATAGCACGTCATTTCACCTGCAGTGAATCTAAGTGTGCATATCTCTGTCATTTTGGACTTGCACCTCATTTTAGCATGCTACTTCTGAAGTGCATTGATAATGCCAAGTTTTATACATTGCTTTTTGATGAGTCTTTGAACAAAGTGACACAGCAGAAGCAGTTGGATATACATATCCACTTTTGGAACCCAGATAAGAACATTGTAGAGACGCGATACTTAACATCAGCTTTTCTGGGCCATTCTGTAGCAGATGACCTTTTAGCCTGCTTTTATGCATCAGTCAAAAATGTAGACCTTAAGAAATTATTGCAGATTTCTATGGACGGTCCTGCTGTCAATTGGAAGTTTTATAATAATATTCAAGAAGATTTGTTAAAAGAACATGGTGTTCAATGCAATGCAATAGGAAGTTGTGGGCTTCATATTTTAAATAACGCATTCTACAAAGGTGAATCTGAAACAGAATGGCTCATTGGTTCCATCCTGAGCTCAATCTTCTATCTTTTTAAAGATTCACCCACAAGAAAAGAAGATTTTATTAATCAATCAACTGAGAACAAATTACCACTAAAATTTTGTAACCACCGTTGGCTGGAAAATGCACCTGCAGCTGAAAGAGCAATATTGCTTTGGAATGATCTGAAATCTTATGTGAAAAATGTTGGCAAGTTTAGAAAAGTGAAATGTAAATCCTTTTTAACTTTACAAGAAGCAATAAAAGACAAATTAAATCTTGTTAAGCTGAACTTTTTCTTAAATGTGTCGGAGCTAGTTTCACCTATTTTGATACTGTATCAAGCAGATCGGCTACTTTTACCATTTTTTGCTGCAGATATCCAGGATTTGGTATTACATAGTGTGCAATTATATAACATTCTGAAGCTAGAATCTACAGAAAACTTAAATTCTCTGGAGAAACTGTGCCATTTTAATTGTTGTGATGAAAAGAATTATGTCTCTCTGACAAAAATCAGTGTAGGTTTTAAAGGTGACCAAATTTTAAAGCAGTTGGCCTCAAAAGTTATTTCTGACCGGGATCATATTAATATAAAGAAAGATTGCAGAAAGTTTATCACCAAAATGCTATAAACTATTCTGTTTGAAATGTTGCTTGCATCAATCCAAAATTAATGTCAGAAAACAAAAGCAAGTGAGTTCTAAAAATGAGAAACATATTAAATTACTTAAGTCAAAAATAGAAAATTGAGAAAAAAGATTGTGACAAAATTAAGCTGCAATTTGCATCATGTATAGATTAGTTATGTAATTTTTACTTGATGAATCGTGAAACACTTTATTTGTGTTTTTTTAATATCATGTATAGATTAAGTATGTTATTTTTACTTTACATCAAGTGCTAATTTTTTTTTCTTAGTCCTAAAAAAGTGCTAAAAAAGTCCTAATTTTTTTTGAAATAATTGAGCAAGAACCCTGTGCTGCAGATTACACGATTTTTTAAATACTTTTTTAATGTTATGACGAATTATAAAATGCGAAAAAGGAAATAAGTAGTGTGTTATCTTCCAACAAAATTTGAGAATATTGCCCATAATATTAGAATAAAAGAAAATTACATATTCAATTTAAGAAAAATATTTTATTTGATCCTATTCATTTCTTTTTATTAAGTTAACGCTTTTGTTGCTTTAAATGAGTAACTTGTATATTTGTTATTTTTAAGTTTCTTGTTGAAAGATATTGGTATTAAAAAAGTATGTTGCAGAAATCCCAAAAAATTCCACAGGGCTTTCATATACTAAGTATCTACTGCAATCCTTCATTGCTATTATTTTGTTGTTGCTAATTATTATTTATTTTCTGTAGATATCTTTCTCAGAAGAAATATGAAGAACTTACAACACTTTTGTATGAAGGTTCTGTTTTGTTCTTCACACACAGACAGGTATATTTATTTAAATCAAAGTGAGGTTATATATATCAGTAATATTTACACTATATGTACATTGCACAAACACTTTTGAACTAGAGCTGTATATTTAAAATTCAATTTCTCAGAAACTATTAAAGTGATTTTGGTCAAATTATGAATTTTGCCCTATAAAGTGACATTCTTTAAAATAGTGTAAAAAATTTTATATCTTACTATGTGTGTGTTTTTAACAGGAGTTAAACATCGTGTGTACCATTTTTAAAAAGTGCTTAAAGATGCTTAATTTCGTTTTTTAAAAGCCTTTAAAGGTGCTTTTTTCATTGAGTGTTTTTAAAAAGTGCTTATTCTTCCCTTTTTGAAAATGAGATTTTTCTTTACCTTGTCGATTTTCGCTAGGTATTATGCAAAAGCGTGGTTTTCTCATTGTTCTATTCAATGTTTTCACAATTCATTTCGGCATACTGCTGTTCTGAAGTGTATGATAGGGCCAATCATTTCACATGTTAATGAAATACTTGCAGGTCCGCATGTGTGTATAGTGAGCTGGATTAAGTGAGAATTATTCTTGCATTATCATGTGCAACTCTGCTGCATTTTACAAGATATTCTCAAATTCAGACTTCATTTTCTACCCTCTGAAATCGAACCGTAAAATCTCTGAATAAAATAAAGGATGAAAGGAACAATTTTAGACCCCTCCTCATCCTAAATGTTGTTCAAACATTTAAATTAATCATTCAGTAGAGACATTTATTTTAAAAATTAAATTTTTTCATCGGTTTAGAGCTAGCCTTGTTGGTATGAATTAAACTGCAGATGATTTTAAAGATTGCATTTGTGATATTTGCTTGTTTATGGTTCTTAGTAATCAAAAAGGGAGTTTATTGCTCTTTCTTAGATATTTAGTTATTTTTCTATTTGTTATGTCAGATCAGGATTGGTAAGTTTTTAACAATTGACAGTCATGTAAAAAAAAACCCTTTTTGATGATTGTCAAAAACATAAAATTTAGGTGATAATAATTAGCTCTTATAGATATGAATTATTTGTTAATAAAAACACATAAAATTATGAGTGATCAATTATTTTAATATTAAACTCTCTTTTTATTTTGACAACTACTGTTAACAACCAAAATTTTGATGTAGAAAATATAAAATTATTATGAACAAAAAAGTGTAAAATTGAAATTTATTAAATCTGTTAATTCGCTTAATTGTTGAAAATGAAAATACAAAAATGATCATCTTATACAAAAAACACTTAGCAATCATCTTATCATTTTAACTCTTCCTTTCCTCGTGGCATGCGATTACAAAAAAGTAGTTTTGAATCTCTCTGTACTCCAAGTTCATTTTTCTGTTTTGTATGAATAAGATCTTAACTATTCTTTTGCTTGATGCTCAGCTGCATAGACTAGAATGTTGATGTACTAAAGCTGTCATAGCATAATTAAATAACATGTAATTAGGAAACTTTATTCTAATAAATGTACTAAATAATGATAGTATTTTAATTAACCCTTGAATTGATTGATTGACAAAATTATTAACTCATTTAAACAATATTTTTATGTAAATTGTAATTACAGTTAACTCTCGATACTACGATATCTGAAACAACTACTCCCTCTATTACGATAATGTTTCGCAGTCCCGATGAACTTTCATATAAGTTAATGTTATTCTCCTCTCAATATTGCGATATTCTCTGAAGCAACAAACCCCTGTAAAACGATTTTTTCTCCATTTATTATTAGTTTTCAAACAATGTAAGAAATCTTATTTTATCATCTTTTGCCATTTTTTTATTTATTTTTTCCTGACACGAGAAGACTTACTGCTGACCTCCCCAAGAGTTTTCTTTCTCAGAATTGCCTTCCTTATCTCTTAAGTCACAGATGTAACATTCATGTCTGATTTCATTTCCTTCATATTGAAGGCTGATCATGAGTCATAAATGACCACAAGCATCACATTAACACCTGAGAGAGAATTCTTTCCGCAAAGGGTGGGTGGAGCACCATTCACAAACGAATATCATTTTCGTACTTTGAACTCAATGCATACTTGGTTGGTTGACTTAGCAGTCAGAAGAATGAAATAAAACAAAAATATCGGATTATTTTCAATAAAAACAGTTTTCAGGTGTGTTTTCGATCTTATTTTATTTCAATATTTCTTAATATTTAACCATAATTGACCTATCTGCAAATTAACATATACATTTAATTAACATACTCAACCCTTCTTTATTTTAATTAATAGTTAATGCACATATGACATTAAAATTAAAAGAAAATCTTATTGTGTCCTCAAAGTTCGCATGCCCTCGGTATAACAATATATCCCTCTACAACAATATATTTATTTGGTCCCCAAAATATTGTTGTAGCTAGGTTTTACTGTAGTTTACTTATCAGATAATATATTATCGTCATGATTTATTGGGAATTTTCCTCGAGGCCGTAACATGAAAGCAGGAGTGGAGAAAATTCTCTGAGTATAATATTTCCTCCGAACAGAGTTTTCTTTGGATAAAAATTTTTTAAAAATTCTATCTTTTATTCAATGTACAATAATACTTTTTAAAAAAATATTTTTGGAAAGTATATAGTTGAAAGAAAATGTAAAAATAGAAAGTATATGTAAAAATTAATTTTGCATATAATTCTAGAATTAACGAGCTAATGTGCTAAAAATAATGGAAATCAAAATAAAGTGAAGTAGTAATAACTTATTAAATTAAATGTAAGGTGTTTAGTCTTTTCAGGGTAGTCCCTTCCGAGTGATACGTCTTTTTTGACGTACGTGTCCCTTTCAATGTCTGAAACTTTTTATTTTGAAGATGCAAAAAATGTTTGAANATCATATATTACCCCTAAAATTTACCTAAACTTTTTTGAAAAAAGTTCCTAAAATTACCCTAAAATTTTAAAAAACTTTGATGCTACCCCTGCAAAAGGTTTCTCTTTTATGCAAAAGTTTAGTATATTTTTAGTAAAGTTAAAAAAAAAAACCTGGTAAAATTGAAAAGTCAAATTGCTTTTCATTGTTTTATTTTTCGGTTTACTCGTTTTCTCTATTCTGAAATAAATAAAGAATGTGTTGAGCTTTTTACTTGTAGATGCGAGCTTTCTGTACCTCCCAACTCTGAGCCACCTAATTTTACCCTGATTTGCACCACAGTTTTCTTGTTACGTTTTTTACTTTTTATTTTCTCTGGACTACTAAGGTATTTCTTGTTTTGTTTCTCACCTTTATTTTTTGTTGTTGTCTTTAGGTGTTATATTTCAAATCACTTTTGTTTCTTCTCATTCACGTCTGGGAAGTCTTGAAAATGAGTGCCTATTTTTTAATCATTTGAAACAAGTCAACTGTTATTTTGAATCTATTATATTTTTGGAGCAAATGAAGTTTTTTAATAGAGTAATACATGATATCTTGATTCATGCTAAAATAGCAAATTGTAGTTATATTTCAATTGTTTGAGCCCCAAGTTTTTTGTTTCTACGTTTTGATGTACGCTTCCTTAATATTCCAGAAATTCAGTTTTTTGCTTTATAATGAAAAGATATTTCATAACAGAAAATTTTCATTTTCATGGTAGGATTGATACAGAAGTAGAAAACCTATAGTGTGTTGGCCAAGTTAAAATATTTATCCTTTCTCAAATACATATTATTTGTGAGAGAATATTTAAACACACATAAAAAATATGTAGACTTAATTCTGTTATTCGTCAAAACTAACTTTGAAGAATTTGTTGCTTGGGAAAGGCAAGCCAGAATGAATGACAGAATTGTTTTTTTTTTAAACGTTTAATCAGTCCTTCAATTTTTTTTCTTCTGGTTTATTATTTTTAAATTTTTAGGGCTAAAAAAATTACTTTAAATTTAGTCTAAAGAATGAGCAAAATTATATACTTTTTATATTATTATACTATCCGGTGGTCACAGAAATTCTCAGGAGTTTTGAATTTCTGAGGTCTGTAATGCTTTTCTCTCGTGATTTTCCATGGAAAATGTAAGTTTGATAATGCATTTTAAGTGAGGGGGGATAGTTACTAGAATATAAAGCACTTTAATGGAAAACCTTTTAAAATAGTATGCATTGTAATACAAATTGAATTTTGCTGTTATAGAAATATATTCTTATATTTCAGCACAATAGTGGAGCTGATTTAGCAATCCTTTTAATCAATGTATTAAATGAATCTGAAGTAGCTGTTTGTGATGAATATATGGGTAAGAGGAATTATTGATTTTGTAGGATATCATTATTAAACTTAATTATAATCTTTTTTTCCTTCCATCATTAGAAAAATTAGCCACTCTGTTTTCAATGATGTTGCCAGACTCTCCTGAAAGATCTAACTTCTTAACAACAGCTTTGAAGTGGTCCAGCAAAAATAGTTGTACAGATTCTTTTGGGCATCCCAACTTACACAAGTTAATTGCTAATGCATTATGGAAAGGTGAATTAATATTTTAATAAGATTTTGTGTGTGTTTTTCTTGGTAGTAAACTAATTTGTTACAAATGTAGTTAACTATAGTTTGTCTATGGTAAGAACTCCCCCCACCACAAAGTATGCTGCTATGGAAACAGTAATGACGCATTTCAAGGAGGGGAGCATTTCTTCACTCTGTGGCTAACAGAAGGAAATAGACAGAATGAAAAACTCCTCTTCTCTCTCGAATCTGATCCACAACCTGTTCTCAGCAATGACCCCACACCCCTACTTGAAATAGTTATACCTCGTTTCCATAGTCACTGCCAGGGGTCCAGATGAATGGCTAGGGGAGTTCTTACTTAAGACAAATTATACATAATTAAGTGATTATTCGTGATCATTGATTGATCGCTTTGGTACATACACAAGTTAGTTACAAATACTTAATAGAAATGAAAGTTTTATGAATGGAAATCTTTTGTAATTATATAACTGATTATGTAGCTGATATAATATGGAAATATTTTATATCAATTGAAGAACTTAAATAAAAGATTTGGGACTATAAAAAGTAGACCTCAGAGTATACTACTGCTATGATGAAGATATGTATTGCTCTGTTCATTAATTGAATATAAATGGTAATAATAATGGTTTGGAGATCTTTTTATGATTTGCGGAAACTGAAAGATTCTTAGTAACTATTTTGAAAAAGCTAAGATTCCTTAGCGAAATATTTTATTATTTAACTATGTTTTCCCATTCATTCAACCACAATAATTTTATTAGGATCTGCACACTAATAAAAATTTTTCCTTCCTATTTTTGAAAGTTCATATACATATATACAGACACACACACACATACGTTCATATGTGTTTGTGTTACATATATATATTGTTACATATATATATGTAACATAAAGAGCTTCTATTAATCTTTTTGTGTTATCCTAATTAATTATTATAATCGAAATACTTTCTCCCACTTTTAAATTCACACCCTGTCCTTAAATCTATTTTTGGCTCAACTATGCATTAATTAAAAGCAAGATATTTTTCCCTTTGCACTCTGTGGGAATCATTCGACCTATTTCATAAACCAATAGAAATTTCTAAGATTTCCCTTTTTTCTCGAAATAGAGACATTTACGGATTTTACTTTGCAAGATTTTTCCTAACATATTACAGAGGAGCGCAACTTTTCGTACACACTTTCATGACTGCCTCTGTCTAATAATTAATAAATAAATTTTGTACCCTCCTTCCTGGCCTAAGACCTGTTTTTATCCTTCCACTCGGCAATGACGTGTTTCTACATGTTTTTTTATTTATTTTTAAATTTGCAAGTTTAAAGTCTATTTGGCACCTTGGTTATTGTAGCTGGCGCGGCAGAGCACAATACGGAGATGTCCTCTTATATTTTTTCTTAAAAATAAAAAGGTTAAGAATAGTTTTTGAGTACTTAAAAAGTGCTTAAGAGGTGCTTATTTTTTAAAATTTTTTTCAATCAAAAATTTGGCTACGCAAAGTGTATATGGCATTAATTTATTTTATTAATAGAACATAATCTCTAAATTTCTGATATCTCAGTGAATGAAGGTATTGACTAGTATTGCTTTTTTGCCATGACTGGTTTAAATGGCATATTTTAGAAAATTGAAAAATTCCTGAAAAATTATCTCTGCAATCTATTTGATGCTAAAATTATCTATCATTTGCTATTCATATTGTTTTGATTTATGAAACATATATTATATTTCGAATTACTAAACATATGTTTTGCGATCTTCGAGGCTTGCTTCACATTTCACGTCCATTTGATTTACTCGTAACTCATAGTGATTTGTATACATGCAATTTAAAAATTAAGCATGGTGAATCTATTCACAAAATTTAAAAAATCACGCTTTGCGATTTTCGATCTATTTCAAAGCAAATAAAGTTTGGTAAATCTTAGTTTGTTATCGCCCAAAATATTGTACTACAAAAGATTTAATTATGTTTAAAATACATTCACTGATATTCTGTGGTAAGAAAAAGAAATTGTGTTTTTAAAAACTAAACAGAGAAGCTAAATATTATTTTTCAATTAATTCTAATGTGCTTCATTAAAATTTCCATGTAAAGTTTTACTGGTGCCAGTCTTTTAAAATTGGCAAGTATGCTAATGCCAAATAATTTTTTTCATTACTAATCTTCAGACTGATTTGAACCACAAAGTAGCTCTATGTTTCATTGGTGACTGTGGGCTACCATATTAAAAAATTGCCACAACTTTTAAACAATGTAAAACTTATAAACTTAATATATGCTTCAATGTAATAAAATGTGTATTTTAGCATACTAACTATTATTGAGTAGGTTCTTGAAAGTTATTGAAAAGTACTTGTTTTTTCCCATAAAAATTAAGTAGGAACACTGCAGACCTGCCAACTCTCCTGCTTTTGCCTCAAATCTTCGCACTCAGGCCTTCAGGGTGTTTTCTCCTGCTTTTTCTATTTAGTTCAGGATAGAGGGGGAAAAAAAAACAATTTATGCAATTTCCATCCCAACTTGTGCTTCAGATCATGCTGGGCATTTATTTAGAAAAATTTCCCCAGTAGCATCATCGCTAAAAATTACGGTGTGTGCGAACCAAAACAACAGCAATAACCGATGAAATGGCAAAATCGGAGAGGAAATATATGTTGGATACCATTAGGCAAAATGTTTTTTCACTTTCTATAGATGGCAGTTTTTTTTAAATATTGCTAAATCAGCAACATCTGCAGTTTTAAAACAGTAGCAGTTAAAAAAAAAAAATAAGAAGAAATACATTTATGAAGTATTGTATTCATTATTGACATATTTTGCTAATTTTGAACCTCTTCCTAAATTTTAAAAAATCAAAAGATGTGTTTTAATATAATTCTAAAGAACCTTATATTTTATAGTAAGAACACATATCTTTATTAGTCAGTGTCAGAATCTTATTGTGGTCTATTTTATGTAATGTAAGTAATATATTTTGAAATAAACTTCTTGTAGGAAGTGTGAATCAGGTTTAATTTTCAATATTGCGCTATGTCGTGATACAGAAANATACGAGGGTTGTAAATTAAATAGTGGCAACTTAACCTTGAAACTCACAAAAGGGCGCGCATGCGCAAATAGGGTATGGGTGCGGTGAGGTGGCGCTGTTGTCGATGTGTAGAGTGCAAAAAACAGTCGATTTGCTTAAAAGGGGTTTGTTGCGTGGCGTTAAAGTGAGGAGTTTCGTTTCCATCGCTCTAAAGCATGTTGTGAAAAGGCTTAATGATGAAAAAAGACGAGATGCTTGAATCCACCGTGCTACTGTCCTATGTGGTAAAGCATTTGCTCCAAAGGCTTCCACTAATCCTCGATAGCATTCTGTTGCATTTTTGCCATGGGCAACCTCGATTGTAAGCCACGACCACTGATCACCTTTTGAAAACATGCTTTAGAGTGATGGAAACGAAACTCCTCACTTTAACTGCACACAACAACTACCCTTCTAAGCTAATCGACTTTTTTTTTGCACTCTACACATATACAATAGCCCCACCTCACAGCTCCCATATCTAATTTGCGCATGCCCGTCCTTCTGTGAGTTTAAAGGTTAAGTTGCCACTATTTAATTTACAACCCTCGTATATGCTTCAATGTAATAAAATGTGTATTTTAGCATACTAACTATTACTGAGTAGGTCCTTGAAAGTTATTGAAAAGTACTTGTTTTTTCCCCAAAAAATTAAGTGGGTGTAGAAGTAAGTAAAATCTAGTGTTAAGTAAAATAAACTGTAGTGGTTATTTTAGGATTATTGTAGTGGTTAGTTAAACATTTATAAAGCCAAATCGCCTCTGATTTGCTTGGTACTAAATTAGCTATTAATGACTTAAAATTCAAAATGTGTTTTTAAAACGTCTATTTTATGAAATCAAACAATTACAGCTAACCTTTTATTCTTGATTTGCAATAGTTTAATTTTTATATGAATGTTATTTGCAGTTGTAGAAATAATAAATAAAAATAGAATTGATAGAAACAGTTTAATGGATTATATTTAATGAAAAGAATGTTTAATGTAACACATCAATTTAATTTTTGAACTATATTAAATATATTTTTTGCATTATATATTTTATGCTATTCAAGATTCTTTCTAAAATGAATTTTAATGAGTTCTAGAAAAGAATTATCAACAGTCTCGGTACCACTTCATCCATTCTTCTGATGGTCAGGGCTGTGCTACTATGTTGATTGAATATCATATTACAAAAGGTTATCCCAATGAAGTTGATTTGTTTATTGCTCAGACTGTTTTCCAGTGAGTTTATTTTTTATCTCTGTCTTATTTTTTGTTTTCTTGCTGAGCACTTGCCACCTCGCCAAATGCCATAAAATAGTAAATTTGAGAAGAAAAAAAAAATTGTGTCTTGGTGAAAGTGTTTGTGAATGGTTTTTTTTACTGAAAAGAAAAATATATATTCCCCTTATACCTGAAAAAAAAATAGAAAAAAAGATCAAAGCGAATTTTTTTGGAACAAATCATGTATTTTTTATTCAAATAAAGTAATTTCAAATAAATTAGAAGTTGGAGAGAAAGAAATATTGTGTGCAACTTAATACTCTAATGAGTTATTTTTCTAACTGTGAGCAATTCTAACTGTTTATTTCCTGTTATTTGCTAGTTGAATAATTTAATTCCTTTTTTCACATTCAATTTAGAAATATAGCATGTCTTAACTTTAATGCATGCACATGCTATATTTACTCTAATGAGATATTTTGCTAACTATGAGCAAAAGACAGCTGAAATTTTAGTATTTACATTAAAATTATTTAAATCTTATTTTATAGTTTGGTAAATGAAATAAGCAGAGAGAAAAAAAATATTGAGTGCAGCTTAATATTTGCTCTAATGAGTTATTTTTCTAACTGTGAGTTCACAGTTAAGCTTAATACATGGTAAAAATATTAACATTTTGTTTTTATAATTTCATGACTGAACAAGTAGTAATTATTGTTTAAAAATTATCATTTATAGCTCAGTTAAATCTCTTACTGTTCTGTTTTCTATTCTAATTTAATTATTGATTATTTTAATATTACAGTTTATTGTCCCATATTTTTAATCAAATTTGCAGCATTAAAATCCAATTAACTATTTATTTAAATGAAAATACATTGTGATTTATTAACGCAAATACACCTTGTAATGGTTAGTATGAAACAGTTCTTGATTTTTCAGAGATATGTTTCTAATAAAATGGTTAATTTGTGAAGTTACTGAAATTATTCTTCTTTAATGTTTATATTTAAATATACTGAAATAAAAATTAATTCTTTAATGTCAATTCGAGTTAAAAACTAAACTAGAACATTTTTTGAACACTAAAGTAATATTTTAGAGTTATACTAAAAGGCAACCTCCTTTTTTCTGCCAGTCATTAACACCGATGATTGCTTTGCAATGATTTCATAGCATGAAACAATTTTTTCTATGAAAGAGTAAATTATTTATTTAAAAATGTACTGTAAATGAGGGTTCTCTCTAACCCATTCTTTAAAATTAAAGAATGGACAATGGTATGATTCTATTAGGATTTATTAGTGAAATTAAATAATTTTACTTTGTAATATTTTTTTGAATACCATTTAAAATTAAAGGCTTCTAGTTATAACAAATGTGGTGAGTTAAAAATTATGGTCTAATATTTTTGCTTACCAAGCAGGCTGATATATTAAATGCAATTTGTACATGGTCATTCGACATTTTGCTGAAATTTTCTGCTCTCAAATCTTCTGCATTTTGAAAATATATGTATAAGAACTCTAAAACTATTTATGTACAGTTCGCAAAATAAAAAGCGGATTACCCTGAATAACTTTTGATCTAATGATTGGATCTTCATATTCTAGTACTCAATTTTATTGATTCAAGGAGTTTACTTCAAATATGCTTCTTAATAAGTACCGACGATATTTTAAGTTACGAAATCAGGCGCAAAAATGTACCCTGTCTGAACAAACAAAACTTATTTTTGTTGTTAAAATATAACGGGCAATCTGCAGGAATGATTGTGCTCCGAAAAAGTTTTCCCTATCTGCAATCTGGAAGTCTCTGGAAATCCAAGGTCCAGAAGTTCCAAGAAATCACATTTATATATAAAAAATCTTGTATATTTTATTTAAAAATATCAGAATTTATACTTGGCATCTCTTTCATTTGTAAATATTTTTTCTGGGAGAATGTGATTAAAGATTATACATCCATTTAAATTATGCTGCATATAATTTATTTAGAATTTCATGTTTTGAAAATATCAATGATTTAAATTTTTATAGACATTAATTTTTTGAAATGCTTCATTAATGATTTTACTCCAGAAATTTTCAAGATTTTTGAGTTAGGCTTGCAATCAACCCTGCAATCTGGCAAATATGGTTCCAACAGTCTGGTCAAGAAAGCAGTCCAAAGTTTGAACCCCTTAATGTTAATTTTACTTTTTGCTATATCTTGAGAAATTTTTAATCAAATTGAAACATTTTTACAAACAATTATAAAATTCCTATATCCAAACATAATTCTACTCAAAAAATAACATTTAATAAATATTTATCATTTTATAGTATTTTATTTAATATTTGCTGAGAAGTTTTGAATGGTGGTATATAATTTTTTACATCATTTTAAAAATATATAATTTTACATGGGAAAATGCAGAATTTGAGTGAAATTGGTCAAATAGTCCTGAGAAATCAAATTTTAATAAATTGTTATTTTAATTTCTGAGAAACTATTAGCATATTTGAGGTTAACCCCTCAAATCATTAAGGTTGTGTCCTAGAAGGTGAATATTCAATCATCAGATCAAAAGTTATGAAGGGTGGTCTATATTTTCTTTTTATTTTGTGCACTGTATATACACCAGAATAGGTTCACCTGCCTTCCTCACTTGCTTTGAATTTTTGCTGTAAAATGTGCTTTTCCATGTTGTAGGCCATCAATTAATGCAAGATGTTAAGTATTCGATTGTACAAACCCTGTAGCAGAATTTTTTTTCCGACAGTGCACTGTGTGTATTTATATATATATATAAAAAATTAAAAAAAGCTTTCATGTACAGAATAGAACAGTATATAATTTTTTTAAATTTTAAGTGTAAGAATTTTTGTTTTTAATATACACATTCTGATATTACTGTAATTTCGCGGAGAAACGCCGCCCTGGTATATACACCGCTCCCTCAAAAATCGACTGACAGAAAAAAACTTTTCACCGGACACGCCGCACCATAGCTATATAGTTATTTTATCATTATACACGAAATTTATTACAATAGTTTGCGATATGATTGATAAGAACAACTTAATTATTATAATTAATTTATCCGCAATTTAAAATAATTTACTCTTAGTAAAAATATAATAAAGAATCATAATTAAATTTTTAAAAATAAAAACAAATATTACTCACTTTAGAATTCTTTGCAACTTCAAAATCTCTTGGCATGGCGGCAAGCCATTTCTTACGTATTGGGAAATCCAAAATTTCATACTTTTGTACCATCAACTTTGTAAAATCCTCTGCAGTTTGGTACACAGCACTCATTGGCAATTATCCATAACACTAAGAATTAAATTAATGCTGACATTTACAACATTTGTTGAATAAATATAAATTTTACGAAGAACGTTGACACCAGAACACACACGGTTGTTTACAAATTCAAATCAAAAATATTCGCCAATTGGCTGAATGCCGACACAGGTTATAATACTTGAGAATATCGCCAATGGCTCGTTTGATCAGATTCGGAGTTTTTCGTAAAAATAGCTACCCTGACTGGTTTTCCTCTGGGCCTAACTCTACTACGTCACCATCGCCTATAGTAACCCGTTGTGGGGCTTGATTCCTCTCTAGGAGGTATTGGCCTAGGACGGTCTTTCTTTTATCCCAGTCTAAAATTCTCACACACTTTGCTTTTTTCCCTCTGCAGACCCTCAGTGGAAAGTTTGAAATTCTTTTTGAACATTTTAATTGTAAGAGTATTGAAGGTCATTCCAAGCTCATCAGCATGCTTTATTTACCAAACATTCACATGTTTTTAACAACCAGCTGAAGAAAAAAAGGGAGTGGAGAGAGGCATCCATGACAAGTAGAAGAGTCATATTTCCTGGAAAGAACAGGGGGTGGGGGAGCATTTGTTTTACAGTTACCTTATCACTGGCCCCACCCTGATTTTCTTCATTCATTCCTTTCTGATTTATGCTTCTCCACTCCACGCCCATTTCCTACACTCAACAGCTGTCCATATGGCAGAAGGGAAAGAGAGACTTTGTTCTCTTGTGGATAGTGGTCTCCAGAAAATGATTCCAAGAAAGGATTAGGGAGGGGAAAATTCCAGGTGCGCTGACCATTCCTTGGAGTGACATTAAGCATGAAAAAATAAATAAAAAGTACAATAACAGGTGGAAAAAATGAAGATGACATTTCCAGTGCGGTTTCTAAAAAGCAAAATTTTTGAAGAAAATAAAAGTTATACTATATAGGCCGCCCCGTCAGATACTCCTTCCTACTAAATTTTCAAGTTTTTAATTAATAACGTCGCAGCCTATCTCCGCGAAATTACGGTATTAGCAATATTCTCCTGTTCTAAAAATTTTTTTGTGTAGTTTACTTTTTAAAATTTTATTTGTTTAGAAATTACTTTTTATAATATCAATCTGTCATTGTGGAATTTTTTATTTGTTCTCAAAGCAAAGTAAAAAAAAAAAAAGAAATCATGAGTGTTTCTTCCATCTCTGAAATATGGGAAAGTCATTTTTTGAAAATAGTTCTGCCCAAAAAGGGAAAAAAAAAGCTCTGCAGAAAAAGAATCTTTCCAAAACTTCTGCAGATAAAGAAATCAAGCTTTTTTGCTTTCCAAGTAAAAAATCTTTCTGCTGAAACTCTGTAATTGTTCTGCGACAATGTCGTCACAATTCTGCCACTATACAAAGGATCATATTTCATTCTATATCTGATTTAATTTAATTGATTGTGATTTAACACAATCAGTTAAAGTAAACAGAACTTGTGTATAAACCACTATATTCCTTTTGTTAAGCACTACTCTCCAATAACTGTATTGTCTATTCTTTGAATAAGAAATGGAAAGTGAAATCAGGTAAAACCTTCCTTATTTTAAGTAATTTCTCTCTTCTGCAAGTAAGTTTTCAAATTCTCCATACTCAGCATTCATGACTAGCAAATCTTGTGAAAAGGTGCTTATATTTGAATGCTCATTATCACCAGCGAAGGAAGTTTCATATTATGAACTTAAAGCTAACCATGTTATTTTCTTTTATTGAATATGCACCAGTTTTCAATTATTAAACGCATGGCCACACACCATATTTTGAATAACATGTGTATAAAAGTTTATTAATGTATAGACTAAAAATCAGTGTGTTATTGTGTTTCTTTTGACAGATATCTGTGCCTTAAAAACAAAACTACTGCATCAACAGCATTTCAGGCATATACAGGAATGCACCCTGCTGTAACATCAGGCTTCCCATTTCTACTACCACTTCTCAATTTTCTTAGTTTTCTGCTTCAAGCAATAGAAAGGTTTGCATATTTTATTCCTAATTAAAGCTCTTTGCCTGACTTTTGGTGGATTGTAATAAATCTGGAGTGGCGGTGTAATTTTTCAAATATTAAACATTTTGCATAGTTTACATTTTTTACATGAAATAAAAAAAATTAAATCTAATAGTATTAAATGACTGTTTCAAATTTACAACTGTTATAAAAATAGGATATCATTCTTATTTCACGAGACAAAAAAAGCATTAAAAAAAAAGAAAACAGTCTCAAGTGTTTATTTTTTTTTACTGTTTATTAGCAATCAGTACTCTTTATAAAATATTTACTTCTAATTGTTTAATGTAAATTTCCAAATTATTAACGAAGTGATTTAACTGTTATTAAATTAAATTATTTTTATTTTTGATAAAAAAAATTACTATTGAAATTAGTACATTTTATTATCATTCCTTTAAAGAAGAAATGTTGCCGTACCTAATAACTTCAAACCCAATACATAGAAATAGTTTATTTGCTTCAAGTTAGAAAAACAACTAGACCGCCGTGCAATAGAAAAATTAATGTAAGTGACAAAAAATTCAAAATTAAGATTTTATATGTTATTCAATTTTGTATGATAAGCTACATATTGCAATAAAAACATTTTTCAAGAATTATTATTTATTTAAAATTTTTTTAACCAATTATCTGAAATTCTATTTCTGAGTTAATAATGTCGGCAAGAGAAAGAAAAAAGTTGTCAAGCTGATTTTCTTGAAATCTTTCCTGAAGTTCTTATATTGTTTTTTCAATTGCACGGCAGTATATTTTATATACAATATCAGTCTTTTTAAAGCAAATAGAAATATTTTTATAGCAATATAAACCCAGGAAGAGTTACAAATCCTACATTTTTCTAATTTAAACTGCAAATTGTTTTCCCCCCTATAGTTATTGTTGATAATCATTTTTCATAACTGCGAAACTTAGTTCTGAAGAACTTGTTAAACCTATTAAAAGATGTTCTTTCTTGATCAAAAGATTTAATAAGGGCAAATTGTTAATTTAGCATTTTGAATTGATATCAAATCTGTTGTTTTAATTCACAGGGTGTTTGGCTGCACTTAGTCAAACAGTGAGGTTCTGATTAAGAAGTATTGAATCCTTCTTACCTTGCATCAGTCCACATGCCAGAAGTAATGAGGGCTTAGTTCCAATAACACATCAAGCCATGATAGGGGGGAAAAATAGATAAGAGACCTAGTATTTTTTTTCTTCCATCTTTCTTAAAAGTTTTTCATGACCTGCAGATACCTCTACTTCTATCTGCAGACATCATTTTAAATGGCAACAATGATAGCTATTGCACACGCTCAAAGTTTGCATCATATGTAAGGAGGTCACTGAGCATGTTAAAAATGGAAGCTGTGAAGCCAAAGAGATGGGATTTTGAGTAAACTTCACGAGCTGAATGGCAATTCAACTGCAACAGCAAAATACTTTTCTATACTGAGTGATTTTATAAAACAAAAAGAAAAAATGTTCCTCTGAAAGATCCACTGAAATGAGGAAAACGAGAGAGCCATGCTAAGTTCCCTAAAATAGAAAACATTTTGGTAGACTAGATTTAAAAAGGAAAAAAAAGCAGGGACGCTCCTTTAGAATAAAAATGCGAGCAGAATAGATTTTAAAAAGTTTGCATTGTTATGATAACAATGATATTGAAGGAATTGATTTTAAAGCATCCAATGATTGGGGGGTGGTAAGGGTTTTAAAACAACATATTGTTTGTAGATATGTGAACTGAATCTGTGAATTGAACACAAATATTACTTCAATAAAAAAATAAAGCCAACAGAAGAGTATCCTTCACTAGTATGACCCATATTCTTCCTTTGCAAGCAACATTATTTTTATAAATTCAGTTGGGCACCCATATAACATTCCCTATCAGCAGAATTTTAGAAGAGTTGGCATCCCGGAAAATGGTTTTACCCTTTATTAATTATAAATTTATTTAATCTGTTGTTATCTTGATTAATTATTTATAGTGCTGTCATTTTTAATAAAGTTGCTTGATACTTTAATTCTAGGGGGAAATTAGTTTACTTCCGTACTCTTTGCGAACAGTATCAGCCATCCTTAAAAAGGGATCCCACTTACAGTGAGGTAAGATTCTTTAAAAATATTGTCTGAGCTGCTTATTTTCTTCTTTTTTGAATGAACCTTTTAAATGTGTTGTTTCATTCCAATACAATGGCAAAGTATTGCTTCTCAGAGAAGTATTTGTTAAATGGTCGTTGTGCTGCTAGCAATTCAGTACTAGTATGTAAATAAAACTAGTATTTCCTAGTTAAGAAAACTAGACTTGTTTGAAATTGTCCATTTTAATAATTTTCTTCTTGTGCGGAATTTAAAATATGAAATAGAACAATATAGTCTTTCAAATTTTAAATAAAACAACTCTTACTAAATGAGAATCAGTTTGTTACTGAGTAGCTAGCATTTAGATAAAACTATAATTCTCTAGTTTAGAAAGCTAGACTTGTTTAATGGTGTTTAAATAATAAGGGGTCCATCCAGGGTAAATTTACGACCGTTTAGTGGTACCTTCACAAATTCAACGTCACAAAATAGTTTAAAAAAAGCAAGTTCTCAGCCTCTTAAAATTTTGTTTTTGTATCCCAGAGTTTTGTAAAATGAAACAACAAGGTTCTCTCTCTATACAGGAAGTCAAAATTGGAGCATCATTCTAAACATTTGAACATTGCCTTTAACATTATTGTAAATTTATTCTAACAGACCTTTATTTTTTTTTATAAAAAATTTTTTCCTTCTGAAAATTTTTTCTGTATGACCTAATCGAAAATGTTCTCATAATGAATATAACTTTTAGTCCTAGTACTGTTAAATGCAAGAAATTTAAATAACATTTTAGGCTCGAAATTTTACAATAGTAAAATTATATTTTAATATATGAGGAAACTATAGAAGAGGAATTGTATTACTGAGGAACTATAGAAATTTACCACTCATAAATGATTTTTATTTTTAGTGAAAATTTTTAAAAATAATTTCTTATTTTACCATATTTTGGTGTTGATTTTTTAATTTAACTTTTAATTTTCACAAATTATGTCTAAATTTTAACAAAATAGTTACCTTCCAAAAAAACCTCGACAGACCCCTGATGTTTTTAGTGACATTTTTTAAACATAATTTAGAGTACAGAATAAATTATAATTCAATTCTTTTAGTCTTTCATGTTTTAAATGAAGCAGCTTTTACTAAAGGATATTTTTGAATCCAAGAGTTGTTAACTTTATAAGAATTTAAATTTTAATTAATTTTTATCTAAAGTTTTTTAAGGAAAAAAAAACTTCTGAATAGAATGAATTATAATTTTCATCCACAGTTTTTGTACAATTTGTCTACAATTCGAACAAATATTTCATTAAATATTGAAAAGTTCTTTTTTATGTTGATAGTTTCAGTTATTAATTTTTGTGAAAAAAAATTTAAATTTTATTTTAGTTTTGGCCATGAAAAACATAAAAATCATTAAATCTCATTGTTATAGTGATCCAGATTAATGTGCCCTTTGAACATTTCTAAATTAGGTTAAATTTAGCAGATTATCTTAACTATATTTATGTTATCATATGTGATAGGCATTTCTGTCAAATATTTCAAAACAAATTGAAACATGTATGTGAAATGAAACATATTTTAGTTTATGCAACATATTTTAACTGGAAAAATTTAATTATTTTTATTTTAAGCTTACTTTAATTAATGTGTAAGTATTAAAATAATCGAATGTGTTTTCATATTCCAAAGGGAGTAAGCTTTTTAGAAAATAACTTTTAAGTGCTCTGCCCTTTTAATTTTAGCTTTATTACAAACAAAAAATAAATGAATTTCTTCTTGCCTAACTTTTGTTATTAATTTTATTTTGCCTGATTTGTTCAAAAAGTAAAAATTTAAACTTTATTAGTTAGAAACTCTATATACAATACTTAAATTTTATCTAAACATACTTGGTGAGAATAATTTTAAAAAAGAACCTTGTTGTCTTTACCATAACATCTTGTGAGAAATGCTTTACGCTAAGAATATCAATAGTTTCTTTTAATAGTTTAGTGTTTGGAAGTATTTTGGAAGATACCAGACATTTTAAAACTATAACTTGGTTTATTTCCTTCATAAACAACTAAAATACTAAAAAGAGTTGTACAAAATAAAGTCTATCATCAGAGTAAGTGGGAAGACATCAGTAATTCGGGACAAGGTGTCTTAGGTCCAGCACACATCTCCGGGTGAGAGCTGAATTCGAAGTGGCATCCTGATCGTCGGTGAGCTGGTTTTTATCCTTCTTGAGTGCAGGCGCGCGCAGTCCGGGAAAAGCTGATTTGCATCTTGAGAGATCGGTTTCTTCCAACAGCGTTGCATTTTAATGAAGATGACGTTCTGTGTGACGTTCGATGTGATGAGTCTTTGATGACGCCACAATAGTATAAAAATTTCAGTTTTTGAAAAAGTGGTCACTCTTTAAAATCCTACTGCTGCCCAGTAGAAAAGTTTCCTAATTTTGTCCTTTTTTTTGTAATTTTGCCTAAATGAATCCACATTCTGTGTTTCTACAGTAAAGAAGATTCTTGTAGCCTGTTTTTTTTTGCTTTTATTTGTTTTATTTATGCATAAAGTTTACCCTATCTTAATAAAGATATTTTTTAGACCCTATTCTTACGAACCATTTTAATACAAGACATATTCTTATATTAAAATTAATATTCTTTTTTACTTTAAGACATATTCTTATATTAAAATTTTAGTTTATTAATTCCCCTGTGGCAGAATCGTGGTGACATTGTTGTAGAACATTACTGAGTTCTTGCAGAAAGAACTTCCCTTTGGGAAGTAAAGTTTTCTTTTCTGCAGAAATTTTCGAAAGATTTTTTCTTTTCTTCAAAATTATATTCAAACGAGGCTTTTCTCACTCATTGGAGAGATTTTTCTGTTCTCATTTCAGAACATTGAAAAATAAAGAGTAATGAAGTAAAAAGTATTAGTTTTCTTTTCTACAGAAATTTTCGTCCTATTTTTTTAATGCAATTATTACTATTCCGCATTGCTTAAAATCAAATATTTTTAATACTCTATTATTTCTTACAACGACTGAATCTCAAAATGAAAACACGCATTTAGTACCCCCTTTTTGAAGAGAGCGATTTACGTGATTTTGCCGTTGGATCTTTTTTTTTTCGGTAGTTACTGCTATGGATTTCTCTACTTTTTTTTAATGTGATGATGATTTACAGAAGACAAAAAGAAAAAAAAAATTAGTGTTGCAAGAATATTGACATAATATTAGTATTAAAAAAAAATATTACATATTCAATTAAAAAAGTTTTTTTCTTCTTTGACGCTTCTGTTTTTTAAAATTAGTAACATGTATATTTGTTATTTTTGAAAGTATCTTGCAAAAAGATACTAGTACAGGGGTTCCCACGGTACTTGAAAAACCTTGAAAGTTCTGGAATTTTGTTGAAAAAATCAGGGCCCTGAAAAGTTTTGAATTTTGCCTTAGGGTACTTGATTTTTTAGGAATTAGAATAATACTAATCTTTCTTACAAAAAAGCAGTAAAAAAAATAATAAATAAATTCAAAGGAAAATTATAGAAATTCTGATAAATACAATTTTTAATGCTTGAAGTAAAAAGGGGTTAAAGAAGATGTAAAACTTTTCTCTCCTAGATTTTTCACAGCCGATTGTTGTTCCTCTCTCTGATGTTTTGAAAGCTGAAATTTCCAGCAAATTTTAGGTTTTGTAGTCATAGTTTTCGAATGATCTATAGTGTTTAATCGATTTAGAAATATGTTCAATGTGCAGGGATGAGATTCTTCCGCGGATTCGCGGATTTCCGCTTTTTTTCAGATTTTTCCATTTTTCCCGCTAATTTCCGCTGAAATTTTTTTTGCCCAAGTTAAAATGTTTTATGAGGAATTTAATTTTCCGCGGAGGGAAATTGTTGAAGTCCCTTTTCCTCCCTCTGAAGTTTCTCTAAAAATCATTTCCTTGGGATAAAACTGGTTGACCTTTATACAGGGATGAGATTTTTTTTGTCTCTCTCGACTGTNTTTGGCGAGAAAACGGCTGCGTTATTTATGAGTCTGCGTGTTCAGTTGAGTCTGTCACCAAAGATAAATAATTTGGAGAAATGCTAAATTTAAACATAATTTTAATGAAAACTTAACAAAATTAAAACCATAGAAGAATAATTGAACAAGTAAAAGCTGAAGAAAAACGTAAGGCAGGTTACCGAAAAAAGAGATAAGTAAAGTAAAGAAAAGTGGAGAAAAAAGAACAAAGTATCACAATATGGTTTCGATGGTAACGAAGTTTTAGATGACCACGATTTATTTCTTGAACTTCAGTTCAGTTCAAATAGATAACAAAAATTACTTTGAGCGTAGATTGCATATTTTAGGTTCGCCAGAGCATGAACTTTTAGAATCAAGTACGATGATTTCGCCACATGTTTTACTAGTTGGCGAAAATGACACTATAAATACTTTATTTTAAAAAGTTCAGTTTTAACTTTAATTATTAAGAAAAATGAAAGCATATATCGANAAATGATTTATGTATCACACATTGTGATTTACTTCTTGTCAGTTCGTGCGTTTTGTATCATTTGCTATTTATATTTTTCCGACTTAAGAAACAAACCGCAATTCAATTTCAATTTACAAATCACACACTGTGATACCTGATTTACGCAATCTTTATGACTTACTTCACTTTTCTTATAATTTTGATTTACATTTAGTATATATAGATTCATTTAAATGTGATTTAAAAATTACGCTTAGTGCAAATTTCGCATATTCACCAAATTTTGAAAATCACGCTTCACATTTTATGGATATATTTTAAAGAACTTAAAGCTTTTTAAGTCTTAGTTAGTTTTCTGTAAAATATTGTTCTACAATTGTTTTTATTAATGTATTATGAGTAATCAAAATGCATTGCTCATTTTCTGAAGTAACAAAATAGATAATTTGCTATTAAAATTGAAACAGATATGCTAAATATATATATTTTGATATTTTATTTAATTATATACATTTCCTGCAACCTAAAATTTGATCTAATATATTAAATAAAAGTATTTATATTTTAATAACCGTGCAATTACACGAACTTTATCAATTATTTATTATGCTTGTTTAATGTAATATGCATTATTCATTCACTCAATTTCATTAATTCTAATTCACTTCATTAAGTTTTTCAAGAAAAGTTTCACTGATGCTAGTTTTTAAATGTTGGCTAGTATCCTATGTCAATTGGAGTTTTTTAAATTTTTTTTTTATTTTTAGTCAATCGGAATATTTTAAAGTGATTGAAAACAGCAATGTAACTATCAACCATTATTATTAGATGATACATTTAATAAATAATTTTTTGTTTTGTCAAATACGCATTGTACTTTAAAAATATACAATTTCTGCTTCTACGTTATTGTAAAATCTAGTTGACATGTAAGTTAGCATATAACTGTAATGCCGAATAGGTCATTGAAAAATTTGATTTTAGTTCCTTGAAAGTCATTGAAAAGTCCTTGAATTTTTTTTTAAAAATTGAGTCGGAACCCTGTAGTATTAGAGAGGTACGTTGTGGAAAGTAGAAAAAATTCTGCCACAGGGATTAATTCTATTACAACTCCCTTGGGGTCAGATAATTTGATTGGGTCAACTTAGTCAGGTAATATTTAGTTTAAATTTTACCCCCAAGAAAACTAGAAACTTAATCAGTGTCAATACAATAAAAAAAATTGAGATATTTTAATTGAATAATTTTTAATTTTAATTAAATTATATATATATACACACACAGTGCACTGCACACACACAAACATATATATTTGCATTTATATTTTTTTACGGCATATTCTTATTTTATTGAATAGATAATAAAGTTTTATATTTATGTGACAACTTGATTTTATTTTCATTGTGTTGTTTATTGCAGTATGTTGATCGAATCGGGCAATTATTTTTTGGTCTCTCTCCTCCACCAAAGCAACAAGGAATCTTTGGTAAATATTCTTGTTCATTGTATTTTACTTTTGCTTACTACATTAATTCGTTCTTATTAACGTGGATCAAGTTTTAACCAGTTGAAAATCGGCACTTATAAAACTATGGTTGACTTCAACAACTTTTATAAAATAAAATAATAGTAACATAAGAGCCTTGATAACTCTGGGGATAGAGTGTTCACCTTCGAATAGAGCGTTCGCCTAACAAATTCCGCATCCGACTAGCACCAACCACAGTGCTGACGTAAATTATTCTCAGTGGTAGACAAATCATGAGTTAGAGTTGCTTTGCCATCGGGTTAACCGTGGGTCCAAGTTTTTGTGGTCCATGTAACGCAAAAGCAGGTCAGTTCCATCAGAAAGTCCTCCGCAAAGGCTAATTTTCCCCAATACTTCATCCATAAATTCCTTGTCTTCTAGATTGGGTTCAAAATTACACGTCTACGGAGTTGAACATTAGTAGTCGTAAACCGTAAAAAAATTGGATCCACTGTTCAACGACGGATATAATAATAACTAAATATAAATTAGAAAACTATGATGGAAAGATCAATTTGATTATTAAAATAAATTGTTTTCGATAATCATTTCCAATACCATACTTGCCAAGAAGAGTAGTGTGATAATTTAGATGTGTCTAAAATATTTTAGTTATCAGTTTAGTAATTTACATGAAATTTAGGTTATTTCACAAAGTGAACTAGATTTCTTTTTAAGTTAAAGTGTTTCTTTTTAGTTGTATATATTTAAAACACATAATATTATTCATTTTTAACTTGCAGGTAACTTAATACAGTCGCTGTTTGAAGGTTTTGATGATTCAATCAATGAAGAAACGGAACCCACTGCTGGGTCCTCAAAGGAATCCTCATTTAGAATTCAGCAAGATGAACTAGATTAGTTCTCAAAATTGTATATATATATATATATATTATTATTATTATATAATAGCCTATTCTATATGGTAGCTGGTTTTGTATAATTGGGCTACTTTCTTTAATTCTAGACCAATCAATCTTAATAGCACATTATGATTTTCTTAATATTAATTTTCAAAACTGGCTATAAATAAACTATTTGTTTATTCAAAGTATTTCAAATTCTTGAATTTACATTTTAGACATGCTTTGTTGTTTTATAGCATGCCAAAGAAGTGTGATTTTTAACATATTAATGCCAGCTTGCTATGATGGTTAAATCTTGGTGAAATTTTTTTTGCTCTTAATTATTTTATTAACTGACAACAGAGTTGTTCACATATTTAAATCTAAGTGTTATTAAAATTATGTTCTAACGAAGATTATTAATATTTTAAAATTAAGTTATATTTTTTTATTTATAGTGTGTTTTTAATATTACGAAGAATAACAAAAATGCTTAGGCACACTATGTATGAAAATTATATAAACCTTAATTTATTTAATAAAAATTGTAACTTGAATAAAGTGCATTATATTTTATAGCATTTTTGTGACCTTTGTTTATTGGTTGTTAATGTGTTAACGCAGTGGACTGGTTGTAAAGACACAGTTCCTGGTAGAACACCGAAGTCAAGTATCACTGGCTGCGAGTGGGTGGGTGACCACTTTGACCTAGGGTGCGCAGTATCGATCCTCGTTAAACTGTTCTACCGTAAAGCGCTTGACTCATGGGTGCAAGTCTTCCGTCCCCAGGACGGATTTCCGTCTTTCGAAAATGTCTGCGGACGGAAGTAAGACGGAAACAAGACTGACTCGAAGACGGAAATCGGAATTTTTTTTCTTTTTCTGTCCATAAAAATATTTTTTAGGTCTACGTTATTGGTCTATTTTCTTATGTCCTGTTGTTATTTTATCAAAAGCCAGATGAATAAATATTTTTTGTACAGTGTTTAATCTTGATGTATTATGGTAAAGCTTTCTTAGATAGTTTGCATATGTCAAGGGGGTATTGTGTATGTTGGGTATTTCAGTCAAAAAATTTTCAGTCTTGGCCCTTTTTCCAACTTGCACCCATGTCGACAGTCAAATCAAATGC